TGGGCAATTAAATTCTGGAAAATATATCTATCATGTATACCGTATTTTCTTGAGTATAGTGCGCACCCATGTATAATGCTCACCCCCCTCTAGCGGGTTCAATATTTTGGAAAAAAAAGAAATTTGAATATTATGCGCAGAAATTTTTTACACCGTACCCTTTCAGCGAAGTCCGGCAAACGAACGGGTGCTGAGAAACTTCGTCAGTACAAATTCGAAATTTGAGATAAAAAATCACCAGACATGTTTATTTACCGTTTAAATAGAATTTATTGTTCTGCTAGGCATTGTTTTATATTTAGGGATTAAGATTACCTTGCGTATTTTCTCGTAAACTAAGCTGGAAACAGCAATCAGCTGTACACACGTTTTCTTGGAATCGACCGGTGATTCGGTCAAGACACACCCAGTGATATAACTTTATAAGATTTTTAATGCAAGGATCGGCAACAATTGTATCTGAAACTATTTTATTTATCAGGAATAATATATTTCATTATTTTCTTAATTATATGCAACCTTTAATAAACATATTTAAAATAATAATAACCCTAAGCGAAGCAGCTGATCGCTATTCCCGGGTATTATTTTTTACATGGAACATGTCTCACCAGTCACCGTCAAGGCTCACGCGCACGTGATCACGTGATCGCGAGAATTTCATGTTGACATAGAATCGTCAAACAAAAACAAATATGACTTTTAACGAGTCAAAGTATGTCATTTATGATATATGTATCCATTCTCTGTCAACTAAAGTTTGTTTCAAGGCGTCAATAGCGGTATTCTGACCGTGGTTGCTGTTAATAACGGTGAGTTGTGCGATCTTCCGATCGCTTCACACACGATTTCGCCGAAATTAATAAAAACAATATTATAAGGAATTTTGAATAAAATCAATGAAATAAGTTACAAACATAAGTCCAGATATAGAAAGAACACTTTTTATAGCCAGACAGTGTAATTACATAATTATTTTGCGTACTTCAGTATGGATTTGTTGACATGGTATTCCCGGTGTTTCATGCTCACGGTAATGTCTTTCCATGGGGAAAAAAAACATCCAAACTCATAATTCGTGTATAATGCGCACCCCCTTCTACACAGCTATGTTTTTTCGAAAAAAAGTGCGCACTATACTCAAGAAAATACGGTAATACACACAGATTCTTCTTTTGTATCATTTCAGGCTGTCAGCATAAACCACGAAATTTACATTCTTTCAACTCTGTTTTTTTCTTACCAAAATTATATTCTAATAAGAGCCCCTATTTCTAATTTTGAGAGTGCCCTGGGCGCTTATTACGTTGAATACGGTAAGTAACACCAAAGACATTTAGTGATCATAAAAGAACCTCAGTAATCATAAACTTAAATGTTAATTTGAGTTAAGAGTTGTAATTACAATGGCATAAGACATGTTTTACCCATGAACTTCAAATTATTATTTACTGACTTGTGGTAACATTAAGGACATATTACGTAACACCAAAGACATTTAGCTTCATCTATCCCAAAGGTAGAATATTTTCATAACAATACAAATTCAAGTGTCAATATGATTTAAGAGTTGTAATGTCCAAAGACATTTTGTCATGATTCAGGTAACACCAAGGACAGTAACACCAAAGACATATTTTCATTCAACATGAAATAAAAATGCAAATGACTGCTCCCTGTACAGTAACCGACAACATTCATTATCAGTGCATTTAACTCTTCTATTATGCATGTAAGATCGATGTTTTGTAAATGAAATAGCTTTCTTTATAACAAGGTTACACCAAAGACATGGAACTTTCATATGGTGGTGCTTGGTGTTACCTTTTTCCAATTTGAATAACTTTTTCTTGAGTTGACGAATTTCTCCATGGAAGACAGGAATTGATATAATAAGGGACCATTCATTTACCTTCTTTCTACATAAATATGGATAACTCTTATACCCACCCAATAAAGCAAATGGTAACACCAATGAGCCATTTAGACAGGCATGCTTTGCTTATTTTTCATTATTTAAAGATAGAAACAAAGAGGAAGCTTTTGTTTGTTTTAAAGATTCTAATCCCATTGATAAAATAACAACATACAAACTTGATGTATATGGCATAAAACCTGAAGTATGTTCACTGTAAAAATCATTCAAAGTCTATTGACAGTGATAATTTCAGAGTATATACCACTCTACCACAAGCAAATAAGGCACTGACAAAGCAAATGTACGATGATATATTTTAGTTTGGTTCCCCACTGAAATATTATGGGTGAAAGTTAAGGGCTATTTCAAACTTTATGAAAGGTAAAGATTATTGACATAAGAAGGGTACATATTTTCTAAACCCATTCAGAACACTGCGACCATGTTTGAATCCCCAAATGGTTTGCTTGTATCAATGCCATTAATATTTTTGCATACGTTTGTACACGTGTGTCACTTTGAGCCTGCCATTGCTGCTTTCAGCAATCTTTTAACATACACCCAAGAACAAAACGTGCGATGATGACATATAATACAAATTTCAATGTTTTCTGTGCATAACCGAGTTCAAAAGTTAATTTCTGATCCCACAGAAGTGTCTTAGAAACTCTATTTTTGTCACACCACAAAATGACACAAACCAAATCATGTCAGATCACAGTTTAGTGTATGTAGAAAACATGGAAGTCAAACCTGGGATTTGTGGATGCCTTTCAATATCGATTTGCATATGTAAATACTAAAAAGTGCCAATTCTGACAGTTATTTGATGATCTGCTGAGGAACAATAGGTTAAGAGATGTTGTTATGCATGAATTATGTGTTATTTTCTCTCCGTAGACTTCAAAGCTATGTGGCTACAAGTAGATATGACAATCTAGAATCATAGTCTACATATACACACACAGTGGTAGCGGAGTTACAGGTGTTTAAAAAACAGTGTATTTGAGGTCTAGAAACCCTGAACGGATTGCTTAAACACAGCTGTGGTCACTGGGTCATGTAATACCTTCAGTCATCTTGTTTTGCCACGCTGTCTTGTTTACATGTCTTGTGCTTTGATAATTCAGAGTCTATCTTAGCCCTTGTTTCATGTACTACATACCTTATTATCAAGGGCCTGTTATAAGTTTATGATTATACTCTTTACCTCGTCATTGATCTCGCCAAGTTTTCCAAAGTTTTGAGCTACAATGCCATGCCCTTTGTCTCTTTGTTTACATGTTTGTATATTCTAATGAATTATGTATCTTTTTTATATTAGTGTTGTGTTTTGCATTCATCCTCGTCGTTGAGGTGATTTTTGTCGCAGTCTCTCACCTAGTGAGTTTGCTATTTACATTAAAGTCTTAAGAAAAAGATACAACCAAGGTGTCTGCAGATGGCTGACCACAGGGACACTTCTCAGATCTTGGAGATAGCCGATCACAATGACACAGAGGTTTTATCTCTAACAATGCCGCAATCTTCACTGATGGAACAATCCCTCTCCTCACCACCATTGTCTAATGCTTTCACACCTCGCCGTGACTGCATCCACAATTACCTCTGTGTCATCTGCATCCTGGCGCCGGCACGCCTAATATCTCCACATCTTTCCTCATGGTTTCAGCTTGTTTGCAACTATGTATTTGGACCCCGCCTGGGTTTACTGGATGCAGTCCATCGATGCACATGGCGCCCCCAATTATACCACCAGTCCCGGCGCCTCTAGTGCCTTCAACCTCTGCTCCTGTGTTAATTAGTCCACTTATGCAACACATGCACAGTCCATCATCACCAATCACGATGACCACCAGTCATCCGCCGTTGGTTTCTTTAGAGGACACCACTTCATTTCGTTGGTCTCACTCACGCAGCTACACCCCTAGATCATCCCATTCTAGACGCCAATCCTGTAGTCGCTCTCCATAACATCGATCATACGACTATGGCTCGGACTCTTCGGCAGGCTCAGCTCTTATCACTTGATTCAACAACTTTGGAGCTTAACTCTCATTAAGGCCTTAACCAGGTACAAGATTGGATGGCGGACCAGTTGACCTCTGATTTTTCCAGAGTCGGTACACACGAGTTCTTCCATCTGAACGATACAGCCGGAAACAGGATTCGTCGCTGAACCACACCCTCCTCCAACGAAGTTGCTGCCATACCCTGTGTGCTTGACACCACTGACGTCGATTTTGACGGTGCTGTGCTGTTAAAACGACCCAACGAAGGGGACGTCTTGCCCTAAGTCCTGCTTCTCGTAATCGGTTCCTAACTGTTTGGGCTGATATCCTTCGCATACCCGGAATGTTGGATGCCTTGGATGATGCGGTTGTGACTCTGTCCCGGAGATAACGTAACCGGATGTATCGGTCCTACCCCCTGGTTGTCACTCGTGGTCTACCTGATCTGGGACGGTCACGTGTTGTTCCTTGATTTTGACATCGGTCCCACAGTCTTGTTATTGCTTGGCGACACGTTAAACACCCTGGCTACTGCAGATCGTGAATTACCAGCTTCCAATCTGCCTATTGCGTTGTTTCTCTCTGCTTCGATAAGTCTTGGCATTGTTCTGCATTAAAGTGTGTGTCAACAACAATTGCCACTCGAGTGAAAACCCTGCGCTTTTAATGCCTATGGAAGCATGTTACACGTGCAGTGAATGGGTGTGTTTTGGTGACATGGTTAGCACTTGGCTGCGTTTTGGTCAATTTTGCATGTTTTTCTCCCTGAAAACATCTGAATCAAATTTCCATCTCATTCTTCATGGCATTTTGTACCCATAACACTACATCTCCCAAATCTTTCCTAAAAACACCAACATCATCTATAATACTATTTCAGTAACCATTTTTATCCCTTTTGCGTTTCTTTTTTGGGGGAGTATAATAAATCGAACGATTACAATAGGGCTCTACAGCCTTTCGGCTTGGAGCCCTAAAAATATTTAGATTTTACTAATTTTGTGGCTGGGCAGTCAAAAAAATAGTCAGTAGCTGATTAATTTTTCACATGAATTACAAATTTGTTCCAGAGCTTCAGAAAGTGTTCAACGCCTTAGCACAGTTGGGTATGCAGATGGGGTAAGTTGCCTTGGAGTCTTTATTTTATTTTGATTATGATGTTTTGATGTCAAACATGACAAGGTCCCTAGACTAGCAGTCTTAACATCAGACTGATTGTCTTCACTCTGTAGATCTTCCTCGCTTTCCTCGCTGATGACAAGACTTGTTTTACTAACCACAGGCATATATCGATATGGATGAATATGTGTATGGTCATTGAGCAAAAATTCAACATTTTCATCAATGGTATGTAAGGTGATGCCATTGTGAACATGTGGAAGGTCTGGGGTTCGATCATACCATAAGACGTTAAAAGATGGTACTTGTTGTTATCCTGTCTGACGCTTGGCATTAAGGGGCTAAATCGATGGTATGTAAGGTGATGCCATTATGAACATGTGGAAGGTCTGGGGTTTGATCATACCATAAGACGTTAAAAGATGGTACTTGTTGTTATCCTGTCTGACGCTTGGCATTAAGGAGCTAAAACAAGGACTGGTCGGCTCGGAGTCAGTATACTGAGTCTGAGTGGGGTATCCATGTTAAACTGCGGCATGGTATCTCAGTGGGCTAGCACTATAAATCGGCATCAGTCCGGACTAGTACAAGCAGCCACACGCATGCATGTATGTCGCTATATAAGTGCAATCTTGGACGTGATGTTAAACCCCATTTCACCTCACCTCACCTCACCATTGTGAATGCTAGTAATCTACAAAACACTATACAGAAACAGTTATCATCTGCAAGTCAACTCTACACTACAATGTCATGACATCTGATGATAACTCAGCTCATTAACTCTCGGTAGTCTCTGGAATATGAGTAGGTTTTAACATTTTTTGCCACAAATAATGGCTTCAGAATTTTTTCCTTCTAGATACATTTTTTAATATGCTTTGTAAATGATGTAGTCACATATTTATAGTTTACTGTAAATCTCCTTTAAACTTGGGATATTCATTCTTTCTATCAGGTTTTTTTCTTTTTTTAAGCCCTGGGTTTAAATTTGGATAAAGTGTTACTCAATTGAGTTGGCAAAATCCATAATTAAACCCAGGGCTTATGAACTGGCAGTCCCAGTATTATTTACATTTGAGAAATATGTGTAATGTGTACCGTATCGAAAGAAATTTTGTTGAATTTTCAATTAATTTGTAATGCCAGTTCATCATATGTCTATTATACAATGAATATTGTTCCAGGTTCACTCTTTTGTTTAATTAGCATCAGTTAAGTCATTTATTTCCCGCAGAAGGCAGCATGTTTGCCATGTGCAGCAGCCAGAAAATGTTCACGAGTAACCAGCTGGTAACCGAAAGTTGAAAAGACTGTTGACATCACAGTGTTTATGAGTTACATTTGAATGATTAAGTCATATGTTTCAATTCTTATGGACAAATCTGGAATAAAACGTTTCGTAGCACATTCTACTTGCTGTTTGGCCACTAGAAATAGTTCAAAATATGTCATTCTCACATGGTGTACCTGTACATATACTTGTCACTTGCTTGATAACGGTGTTAGAACCTACACTGAAACGTCGCTCTTAATTGTAATAAAGAAATTGTTCATCCATAAATTCTTATCCTTACTTAATCATCATCATCATCATCCTTCAGAAGTCAATTATTAAATCAGTGGACTTGTGTCTTGAGATTGTTGTATATTTACAGAGGGAGAGGAAAGCACATTATGTGGAGGACATACAAGACAGGATGGAGGACCTTTTCGGGGCTGGTGCACACCTTGAACTTAGAAGTAAGTCAGTTCCTTATAACCTATGCCACATCCCCCACCCCCTGCCCCTTGAAGATAACAACTGTATTCATCCTGTGAATATTTTCCATCCTCAGCCCAAACTATCAAACTTCATTCCACCTAATGTTTTACACTGCATTGAATATGGGTTGCTGTCTTTAATGTTTTCACAAAGTTGGACTTCTAATTTCAGTTGCCAAATTGACAGTGGACATTCGAACAGTCATCCCACACTGTGTCAAGTTCAGTCAGGTAACTGACAGTAGCAAGGATGTAGTTTTGCATTCTGACAACTTGAGTGTGGAACTCCCACAATGTTGAACTTCCACAAAAAACAACAACAGGGATATACCTCTGTAACAACATAAAATTCCTGTTTAGGCTGAGAATGATACCATATATCGCTGTGTATAAGGCAAGTTTTTCTTACCTAGAATTAGGGGACTTTCAAGTGCGGTCATCTTATACACAGGGTTGAAGAGTTTTGATTCCCCCCCCCCCCCCCAACACAAGGACATCACTGTGAGCACATAACACCAGAAATCCCATGTCAATAAATCGATCTGTACTGGAGTATGCAAACTAATCATGCAATTACACTGTCTGGTTATAAAAAGAGTTCATTATATATCTTGACTGATGTTTGTCATCTATTTTATTAATTTTATTTAAAATTTCATTCAATATATATTCTATTCATTTCGGCGAAATCATATGTGAAGTGATCGGAAGATTGCACAACTCACTGTTATGTACAGCAGCCACGGTCATATTACCGCTATTGACTTTAGTGGATAGAGAATGAATATATATATACTCAACAACAAAAGTTCCTGTGACAACAATATTTTAGTGTATTTTTCAACCAAGTAAAGTTTGGTTTTCAATATTGTAGTACATGTATGGAATCAAATCACAAAAACGCAACTGCTACAGAAAAGCATGCATTCCATGCAAAAGTTGACTTTTATGCAAGTCCCATGCATTTCACAACCCAAGAATGGGTATAAAAACATGTGCGTTAATGGGATTCCATATGTATTGTTTAGCATCGTGCTGACAACAGCCACTCAGAAAAACAACAAAATTACGCAATTATTCAACATTACGAAATGCCACGCCTGTCCGAAAATGAGCGTCTGCAAGCCATTGGTATGCTTGAAGCAGGATCGAGTCAACGTGATGTTGCAAGACAATTTAACGTCCACAGAAACACCATTTGGTGTTTATGGCAACGTTGGCAACAGACGAATGCAGTCAGAGACCATCCTCGGAGTGGCAGGCCACGCGTAACCAATAATCGACAAGACAACTGGATTCGAACAACACACCTACGAAATCAATTCCAGCCAGTAACAGTGACTGCAAGAAGCATCCCTGGCCTTCGACGAATATCTTCACAAACCGTACGTCGTCACCTCAGATGTGCAGGGATGGACGCCAGAAGACGTGCCAGACGTCCCATTTTGACGGGAAACCACTGTCAAGCACGTCTACAGTGGTGCAGACAGCATCTACGCTGGACAGCCATGCAGTGGGGACAAGTTCTATTCACTGACGAGTCTCGTTTTCACCTCAGCCACAGTGATGGACGGATTCGAGTGTACTGATGTCGAGGCGCACGTTACGTCAATCATTGTGTCATGGAAGAAGATCGGTCCAGGGGCGGCAGCGTTATGGTATGGGGTGGGATTACAGCAAGGCAGAGGACTCGTTTGATAGTGGTAGAGGGAAATCTCAATGGACAGCACTACCGCGACGAGATCATCAGCCCTGTTGTTCTACCGTTTTTGCATCATCATGGCCCAGGCATTACCTTTCAACATGACAACGCCCGGCCTCATATTGCTCGACTTGTTCAGGATTCCCTTCAACAAAACAACGTGAATGTCATCCCCTGGCCTGCTTGCTCCATTGATCTCTCACTAATCGAGCACATGTGGGATGAGATGGATCGGCGCCTTTGACGTCAACCACGTGTTCCACAGACACTCCAGGAACTTCGAAACATGCTCCAGCAGATATGGACAGATATCCCACAGGACTTTATCCTCACATTGACTCGCTGAAATTCATATTTGTTGTAGTTTGACTATTATGTGTCAACATAAAGATTTCACTATCTCGAGCCTGGGAGCATTGATGGTGATTGGTCAAATTGTTCCGTATGAAAAAATATCTGGCAATAGCGATCAGCTGTACCGAAGTGCTACACTTATGGTTATTAATTTATTTCAAATATATATATATAGTAAAGCTGCAACTAAAATAACATGATATCGGAATAAATAAATTAGACGGGGAACCATCACTTCTTTCTGTGTTTCCAGATGAAAACAATTAAGACTTTTGTTGATCACATCTGAACACTTTGGTTGCTATTTTAAAATATTATGTCCACTCATCTCACCAGAAAAGCTAAGAGCTGTTCCACATCAGATCGGGGGTACAAGAAGAAAGAACGATATAGTAATTGGTTACAAATGTATTGTGGGATGAGGCTTTCATCCCCATTGTGACTGGTGTCTTCTCCGGATGTGGTAAAGATCAAGTCACTGGGGATCAACATCCAAGGTGCCAGTCATGCAGAATGAGCACTTGCATGCCTATTTGAAGATGCAATTATTTCAATAGTCTCTCTAACAAAATGTTAGACAAGGTTTCTAAGAGTGGCACAGAAATACTGACTCTTCTAGAAGCACTTAGTCATAAGTAAAAAATTAATAATCATCATCCGCTAATATTAAGAAGGGGCAAGTTTCTGGTGTGATACACACCACTGCAAGTCACTTGAGGGGCAGTCTTGTTGCTCATCCCACCTTCTCACACTATTTAAAGAGCAGACATACCTTTCTGGTTTTCTGACGCCACTTGCGTACATCAAGGATGTCTGGTAAGGTGGGCCATCTAAACTTGGTAGAAGTATCTGATCTCCACCAAATGCCATGGTCCCCCTTTAACTTAAATGAGTTCACAGATAAAATCATAGACAAAAAATGATAGACATATACTTTTAATTATGAGCTGAGGAATTATTGCTTCTAAAAACCTCAGTATCCCAACAGATCTTTGATTGAATATGACAGGCAATTACCATGAGTTATCATGGACACAGCCCAACTGAATCAGCAGATTACAAGGACAATAGAAGGGTCATTAGAAGGCGTAGTGAATCTCATGGATCCCAGTTTTACCATGCACAGCATGAGGAAGATCATGCATCATGGGCATCTCAATTCAGCTGGCATAGAGGTGGACACTACTCCCCCTCTAGTCACCATCATAATACGGGTCGGGTTGAAAGGGACTCTCATGCTAGTTACGCAAGACCTCATAAGCATGCCCCTTCTCATACTGTTACATGCTCCAGCCAAGTGTACACTGACTAAAGATGTTGCGTCATTCTCACTACGGTTATACTACACATGCTTCCTGCTCCTCAAGCCACAGATCTGATGACCAAGACAATACTTCTCAACATCATCACTTCTCCTCCCTGCGCAGATTACTTAGCAGGTGCGGCTCCACATCCAACACTGCTACTTTCTTGGATTTGGAATCTCCTTCAGAAGTCTCCAATAACTACTCATTCAAAGACATCATTGAAGGATTATATCACTTGATGTCAGCTTTACGTCCCACCACCAAGGAGAAGCAACCTACGAATCCTTTGCTAGCACGCAGGGTATGATGAACCACTGTCCAGTACCTAAAACTGAAGAATTCCACATTCATCCCTTACTGTCATACATGGAGAACATCATGAAAAAGATTGAATTCTCTCTAAATGGATCAGCTGCTTACATCCTTAGACTTGGGATGCCTTCTATCAGCAGTAATGGTTACAAAACACATGAATCTCCTTTCCTGCCTCATCCTATGATCGATGATGACCATCATGATTTTGTCAAGAATCTCAACACTTGGATGCACATAGAGACAGCTAGAATCAGAGATCTGGATGTCAAAAAGCAGATGTTGAATACCAGCTTGTACATCAATTGAGTTGCCGCCAGCATTAGTCCAACAGACCAGAACTCAGACCTTCCCTCAGACACATCAGTCAAAATGACCCTGCATCAAGCCGCATTTGTTTACAGCTCCTTGGACCATATATTAAAAATGCAGGAAGATCTACAATCAGTGCTGATATGGATGGCAGATCATCTCATACCATTCAAAGGAATCACCTGCACCAACAAGTTCACCATGTGCTTCTGGAGTCGTTGAGAAGATGCATGTTGTCGCAGCCTATTACAGCTCCACAGATCTTCAACATTAGACTAAAGGATATCAAGGATGCGATCATATTGGCAACCAACCACAACTTCCAAGAATCAACTTGGCATGCAATATCAAAAAGCAATTCCCAGACTTCCAGATGCAGCGACAGCCTCCCAAGAGAAGACATGTGATGTCAAGGTGAGAATCCTTTCATGCCCCAGCCTTGAAGGATAGATCATCTTGTTCCAAGACCAGAGTCTCAAAAGAAGATCATCACTTCTCACAGCATCGAAGAGGCAGAGGCGTCCCCAAAGGCAGTCCTCGTCGCAAGGGATTCAGCAACAGTTCAGAACATCTCTCCTCTCTTCTGTTGACCTTGCCTGTCTAACTGACATTGATTTAAGACAACCAATATGCAATACAACACGTAAACCAGGTCCAGTCAGAGGATGTCTAATGCAGTGTGCCAACTGTGATGCCGTCACAGTCAACTCCTGAAACCTCCATTTCCAGGAGTCTCCATTTTCTACTTTGACTAAGTCTGGTGATTCATCCTACAGGACAACGTTTTCATCTGACAGGCACCAAGGGAGCTCAAGCCAACTTGGCAGTACACTAGCTTCTAGACAATGGAGTCATGAGCACTCAGAAGAATCAGATACCACGCTGAATTCTACTCACCAATCTTTCTGAAATTTATGAAGAAATTAAGAAACGCCCTTTGAAAAAGAGATTGGATGGTCAGCCTAGAAGATATTCAGGAAGCGTATCCTCACATCCCCATCCATCCAAGTTACTATCTATCTACGGTTTGCAGTCTTCGGGCAGAGGTATCAGTTCAATGTTCTACCATTCGGCATATCCATAACTCCATGGTTGTTCACCAGGATCACCATCATTGGGTTTGCCTATCTATTGTTGGTAAGACTAAACGTCCTCATCGACAAATTCCTATCGGCCAACCAGGACAAGTCACAGTTCAAGAAAACTTCCTTATCCAACTATTAACTCACATGGGCTTCCTGGTTTTCCCCGACAAGTCAGAGTTAGAACCCATTCAAGACCCACTCATATTAAAGATGCCACAGTACAGGGGAAAGGGTCTACTCAAGAGAGACTTACATGACAATAGGCTGGAAATGTTAGCAATATTTCTAGCTATCTAAGCATGGCAAGTTCATGAGGACCAATCATCAGTACTGATTGCTACAGACAACTCGCCAGTGTAGCATCAAGGGGGCACATGGTTGAAGGTGGTTACACATTTATATGCCTTGGCAGGAACACTGAGCTGCCGGATGGAAACTCGTCACATACTGGGCATGCTCAACATACTAGCAGATTGATTTCCTAGGAGAACAAAATCATGTTCTCGGAAATGTTCCTCCATCCAGAGATATTCCGAATGGATAACCTCAGTTTGGGATTCTCCAAATCTCGACCTGTTCACATCCTGCCTCAACAAGATACTGCCTGTTTATATTCGCCCCATGTAAGACCTGCTAGCCCTCCAGGTCAACACCTTATCCATGAATTGGGAGGGAATATTCGCCTAAGAATTCTCCCCTTGGTCTCTCCTTGACAGAGTACTGTGGAAAATAGAAGAGACAGAATGCAGGATGATACATATAGCTCCGGCATGGCCCATCAGGACATGGTTTCCGAAATTACTACTCCTCCTAATGAGAGGACCTACTTTCTGCGACATATTTTGGGGCAGCCTGAACAACCCCAACCTTTACGCCTGGAAATTAACTTGACAAAGATGCTACTTTAAATCAGCTGCACAAAGACTGGCATGTTTATGTCAGATAATAGCCAAGAAGTTGGACGCTGGTCGACATAGCCAGTGGAAGCTGAAAGTGACACACCTGGAAAAAAACGTGAGATCTTCGACTCCGTGTATAAGACGACCCCCCTTCTTAACCCCCTCATTTTAGGTACGAAAAACTCGCCTTATACACAGCGATATACGGTACATATAACCACAAGTGAGGTCATAGATGACATCAGAACTGGAAATGACATCTAAAGATGATCTCAGAACAGGTGGGTATGTAAGAGGGGACATCATAACCAGAAGTGACGTTATATGAATAGACCCGGAAGTGACAAGTGAAAGCCAAGTAAGTACTGGAAGTGACATGAGAACAAAATGCCAGCTATCTTGGGATACTAGATGCCACACCCTACCGATCCCACATCCCACCGATCCCACCAGTCCCTCTGGTCTATACTGGATAGGATGTAATAGAGGTAGGGTATTCGAAAGAATACTACCTCTATTACATCAGGAGTTAGTCTGTCCTACCTCCCCAACTAACTACATCTAATTGATGAGGGTTGTGGGTTGAAAGAAGTGATGATTTCCCGCCTTGTGCATGCAGTTTTATTTCCTGCGAAGGACAAAAATTTATTAAATTTTATAGTGTCATTCTCAGCCTCAACAGAAATTAATGGCTATGATGTAATAAAGGTTGTATTCTTGGAATTGTACACAATGATAAATATTGCTTGTTTTTTCATTGATTAATAGTAAACACTTTCTTTTTTATTTTCATGTGTCAAGGTCATATCAAAGGTCAAAGACAGTCACACAGTGAAAGATGTGTGAACAGTATGATTAAGATTGTATTTACATTATGCTACAGTAACTTTATGTTTAAATAACCACTTATGCTTTCAATTTGAAATTATCTGGAAATTCATGGATGAGCTTGAAAGACAATCATTAGACCCAAAGTGCTCATTACTTTCTTTTGAGAGTAGCTGTGGGCATGAGTTTCTGGTTTAAAATTGTACTGCATTGGATATGTAAATCCCGAAGCAGAAAAGCTATACTTATGCTCGAAGTAAGGTCATTAGCACAATTAGAGTTGAAATACTTCATTTCACCTTATTAGCTTCTCCTATGTTTGTCAGGGGAATGTAAAGCCTATTTTTCATGAGGGAATAACGGGAGAAATGACTGACTATTCCCACATACATTTGAGATTAGTGATGTTGAAATGTCAGGACAAGAAGACCAAGGCTCAGCTGGTGGAGAAGATACAGATGAGGAAGAAGCTGCTGAAGTATCTTCGCCAGGAGGACTATCAGCGCTTCCTCTGGCTCTTGAGAGAACTGAAGATTCGCTATGCCCCCATCCAGGAATACCATGGCCATGCAAGCAAGAAGTTCCTTAAGAGAAGTTCCACAGTGAAGGCAGCATTTGATGTGAGAAAACAGAAACTGTTTGAACTTCGAGAACAACTAGATGCTGAACGGGTGGACTATGAGGTGTACAAACAAAAAACTTTGGTTAACATTAAGAATGATATTGACAAGCTAAACCTTGATAGAGAGCTTCTGTGGAAGCAGCAGGTGCGTGAATCAGTGACCAAGGCAGAGGTCAATTTACTTAAAAAATGATAGGCTGGCAGGACCTAAGATGCTTTTTCTGGGAAAAGCTGTCAGGTTGTTTGTGAGATATATAACTAAAAGGTTGAAACTAGCAGAAAATTTAAAGTTTTGTGTCAAGGTGAGTTGTCTGTGAGTTCTATTGAACTTTTATCATAGTTTTAGGCTTTCCATCTTCATCTCCTCTGAACCCAAAGTCATATGAAGCTAACATTTTGCATGTGAATGATGCAAGCATCTGTGGTCCACATGTGCTCACAGAATTACCCGTACATCATTTTGTGAATATGTTCTCTCATAGATGTAGACATAAAATAGTTCATTCAGCTATATTGTATTCATATTCTTCTAATAAATCTATGCTCGAACCAGGAAAGTGTATTTTTTAATTACTTTGACAAAAAACATCTGTTATATTAATTTGGCTGTTTGAAACAAGTGGAATATTCAACAATAGTAACAATTCTTCCGTTAACTTCTTTGAGTGGCATTTAGAAGTTGGAATGGTAACAATTTTGTCTTAATTCTTCCGTTGCAGATATTCAATGTATAAATGAGTGTAATTACCAATTTATGGAAGGTTAATTTCTTTGAGTGTGTCCATAAAATTATTATCATGGAAGTGTAGCAGGGCGTGGAGTCATCCCACAGATGACATCCTTACCTTGTCAGCTTGCTGACGGGGTAAACCTCTTTGGTCATGTGGACAAGGCGTCAGAAGGTCCGTGGTTCGAATCCCATCACGGGACTTGGAAATTTTATGGCCGCTACATTGGCGCCCAATGTGGGGCTGAGCATGTTCATATTTAATTTAAGCAAAATAAGTATCAGTATCCTGCTCAGAAATTTTATGGTCGCTACAGAAGCAAGGTTGTTTTTAAAATATTACATACAAAATCCCTAAGGAGATAATTTATATGAAAAATTGTGATCTATTACATTATTGATATCAAGGGTATGAACATGTACCTGAAATATAATTTACAAATATGAGGTGTCTTAAATTGTTCCACCATGACACTAAAGGATTCTTGATTCTGATTGGTCAAAATAAAGATGAAAATCAGGTATCTAGTTCCATTCGATACCAAAACATTGACATGCTTTTTTCACAAGTCTATGACAGCTAGTAGCAAGTTGAACGTTATCAAATTACGTTGAATTGGCCATTGTGGACATTGTGTAAGCAGCTCATATTGCTGAAGTAGTAACCGCTTACAACAAGCATGGTTTCTGAAGACCAATTCTAACACGGATGTTCATGGGTTGAAAAATCAAATAATTCTTATGAATCCTCTACCTCTATTACATCATTGCCAAATTCCTGTATTTTGGCTGCAATCACACTAAACTAACTTTCGGATTAAGTCCTCTTCACTGTCAAATTTAAGTAGTTGTACCCGCAATAGCACAGCCTCTCATGCGTGAAAGTGGGAAAAACCTCACTTCTTTCCTGTCCGTGAGTCATCAACGCCTCCTCTAGCACTTAGTTGTACACGCCGTGATGTAACTGGAATACTGTTAAAAGCGGCGTTAAACCAAACTCACTCACTCACTCACTTAGTTGTAGTGACACTATTCTAGTCCTTTTCAGTAAACAGTTATTAAAACTTCTACTATAGTATTACTACATGAAGAAATACCGAGAAGTTCTACAATCCCAAGATTACAAAAGTAGAATTGACTATCAAGGGCGTTCCTAATCAACTATATAGTCAAGGAATGCTAGCGTATCAACAATGGGATGAGATTAAAAAACTCCCTTCTATAAAATGAAGCCCAGAAGTTAACGCGGTCGTGAAAGATCTGTCTCTTGGGGATGTATCCCTGGCTGAATTCCTTACCACGAAGTATGCGCTATGGCTCGACATGAGAACCACGGACGATGACCAACTACACGGCAGTGGGAGGAGAATAGAAAATGCTAGCGAAGGTGTCACTATACAGATAGCGAAGCTCCAGGAATCGGCTGGTAAATTAAACATATATTTGTACGTGATTATGGATGCGCAACTTAATATACAGAATGGACGATTCGTGCAAGCAATCTATTAATTATGTTTTACCTAAAGAACCGCACTGCGCTATCATCTGCGGGCAAACAGGTTGTGGAAAAACAGCTTTTATTCTAGATATTTTACAAAGTCATTATCGGGACGTTTTCAATCATATTATTATTCTGGGCCCGACTATAAGCGTTAATAAAACATACCTATCGAGAGATTGGGTGATGAATGATGATGGGGTACACAGAGTTGATCCAGGCAATCGTTTACAAGACTGTTTACCAGTATGTCACAAAAAATACAAAGGAGAATCAACCCTTTTCATAATAGACGATTGCAGTGCGAGTAAAGAACTAACCAAAAAGAAAGATATGCTTTCATATTTAGCATTCTCCGGTCGATATACTCAGCAAAGCATGTGGGAATCTAGTAATTCAAAGTCTAGCGGACTATAGAATCGGTTACCTAGTGCGCCGGCAACAGCGAGATCTTTTACGACGGTATTATCTACATCTTCAGCACACAAACGCAGTCTCAATGTGTTCTTATTACAAATACCTTGGTATTGTATGTTTTCCCGCTCTTTATCCGTTCTCCAGAGATCCATGTAACAATAGTATACATCGCTATCATCGATACTCAAAACCTCATTACTGCTAACTCCCTGTTAATGTTGGCAGAAGTCAAACTAATCGTAAATGCTAGTCGGACAGTTCCCGGAACTAACACATCGTGTGCGCCGGGATTAGGAAAGCAAACCAGAAGTGTTTGATTCTGATTGATGGTACTAGGATTATTAGTTATAGTTACAGACTGACGAATTGCTTTGACCCCTAATGGATCTCAAAGTCTACGTTGTGGGTTTAACTTGCGTCCGTATTGCAAAGACATTGTTATATTAAAATTATGTAACCTTATGTTTAATATAAAAATGGATGATTTTAATCTAGATGACTTTGATAACCCTAGTACAATCGAAGAGGGTACTGATGAAACCAGCTTTGGTGGCATAAATCTTAACGATGAACTTTTACAATCAGCCGTTAATGATTATTACGATACCTTTAAAGATGTTGGCCCAATTGGTTGTGACTATTCGAAGTTTACGATAGATAGAAAGGAATACTGAGAATACGCGGTGAACCTGATATTGACCTTCTGCATTATCGTACTCGTAAGCCCCTAGCTTTGTCTACGATAGCCGCTAAACATGGCATCGATATTGTTCATAATGAATTGGGTTTTGTAGACTACCCACGACGAGAAAAACTTTCCGCGAAGACTACTAAGGTTCTCAGGACTGTGCGTGATGAACTCAGTACTATAGACAAAGATAATTTGGAAGAAAGCTTGAAGGTGGCCTCGGTCGGACTCGGAGAAATCTTGGATACCTACTACGATAATTCCACGGTCAGTGTACCATCCTAGGAGTTCAGTATCAGGGAATTACGAGGTCTTGACAAGGCAATGCAAACAATGCGGGGAGAACTCATCAATAATATAGCCAAGCTATCAACTCGACAAGCATATAGCTTATGAGAAAACAAAACTTGAACAGGCGGGTGATGAATTCAGGAGACGTCCCGTTGCAGAACGATTGCGTAAATTAGAAGACGAAAGATCAGCCCGCCTCGAAGCTGCTTCCAGTAATAGAAAGGCACTTCGTTCAAAAATAAGTCGAATTCGAGAAACTATCGATCAAGTACTCAACGATGACACGACACTGGCCGATAAAATTAAAACATTGTTCAGAGAACAGGGAATAACCATTGCCAGTATTTTAACCGCATTGGGATTTATTATATCGACTTTGACTCTCGCGTTAACCAGTGGTACAGGAGGTTGCACACCCCCTAGTGATAGGGGTGGTATAAAAGAGTGGATAAAAAAGCATTTAAAAGCATTAGGAGAAGCACTGGGAAAGTTTGCTTGGAAAGCCGCGTCTACACTTCCCGGTATAATAGGGAGTATTGTTTCCTGGCTCTTGAATTTATTAGCTAAGACCACCACTTGGCTTAGTCAAAACTTGTGGGCACTGATTGTAGCAATTGCAGGGCTGTTGTACGTATCCGCTAAAGACTATTTATCCAAATCAGTTCATTAACCAAATCATGAGCAAACCAGCCGCGACTCCACCTACTATAAGCCCTGTTTTTTCATCGATATGTTGTTGATTTTTAGCCGCAATATGTGGTGGCACTTGTGGTTGTGCGTTAGTAGATGGTTGTGAAACGTGGTGTCTGTGGCTTGACTATTCCCGTTTCACCTGTGTTTGTTTGCATTATTAATTCGGTGTTAATATCTGAATTTATACCTGGTTTTTGTTGATCGGTAGCAATAACAATTTTATTATTATAGCCAATCACTTGATCGATCTTAAGTTCCATATTACTCGGAGACATGTAGAGTCCCGGTGCATAAACGTAGTCTTCTTTGGATTGAGCGTACTGTAATACATCTTGATAACGCTTTATAGAAGATGGTATGTCAACTGGTGAATTAATAACATCCACGTTTGCAACAAACTGTTTATGCGCATCGAGCGCCATCCCAGAACCGATGATTCCCGTTAGTATTTGCGATTGTGCACCAAGAATTGCCCATACATAAGTTCTTATTGATTCATTAACTCTTACAACTCCTGGGTTAGTAAAATTATTTTCTGTTTTAATATTAAGAAATTCATTCCAAGCATTTTCAGGTGGTTGCTCAACCTTTTGGATGGTGAAAGCAACACCACCCTTAAAGTTCATACGATCATCTCTCCACTCGTTACTCGAGAGAGCAAAGCTCGGAAGAAGCCGACCCCTTTTCAGTAAATCATCGCTGACTTCTTTAACAGAGTGTGCACCAGCGTACGAAATACCTAGACCATGGTTAACTCCACTCAGACGTCAATCTTTACTCGTAAAAAAATTAAATTCCTGACAAATACGTTCGAATGCCCACCTATTGTATGGATTATTTGATGCATTCCATGCTCGATCCAGCGGTAATGGAGCACTAATTTCTTTAAGTATACGTCTAATTTGATAGTACACGTGAAATGATAAAACAGACTTATTTAGTTCAAATCCTGGGGTATAAAGAGATACACCACATCCCGTTGTGGTACACCATATGGCAAAGTTTAACTGGTTCTGCCAAAATTGCATTTGATTATGAAACCAATCGTGCACCATTTTATCACTAGTTGCCGTGACCCTGTATTTTTCAAAGATATCAGGGAATTTAACCAAAAAAATAGCACCAGAGGCACTTACTAAAATCGACTGATTACTAATGTAAGTTGATTTCATATTTAAGTTATGATATAGTATCTTTGTATATTTAATATGTATGTTACACTCCCAGGAATAACAAATGGTCA